TTTTTGAATGGGATGATATATGTATGCCACCTTGAGTCACCTTCGGGCTAAGAAAGGCAGGACAGAAATACTGTAAATACATATGATATTGTTGACAATTCATCGTGAAACAGTGGAGGCTAGTGGGGATAAAAGTGGAGAAATGAATACTTTCAGGGTCCTATGGAAGCTAATGCAGTCTCACAGGTCCTCATCACATTGATAGTTTTCTCAGGGCCCTTCCACACAGCCATATAACCCTGAATATCAAGAAAGAAAAATCCCACGATATCTGTTTTGAACTGTGTCATCTGAGTCCACACTGTAATATATCCCAGTTCAAAGCAGAAAATGTGGGATTATATTGAGCTATGTGGAAGGGGCCTCTGTCCCTGCATGCTGTTGGCACATTGCCGACATGGAGTCTGACGGAGCCAATCAAATTATGCAGGGCTACTTTCAGCAGGGCTTCATTGGGATCTGTATCCACAATGTGCCAACAGCACAGAGATACTGAGCCCTGAGGAGTCAGGTGACTCTCTGACTCCCCATAGAAGAAGCTGTGGACAGCCAGGGAGGAAGCCAGGGACAGCAGGGAAATAATCTGAAAAGGCAGTCAACAACCAACCACAGTAAGCAGTTGGCTTCCTGACCTCCATGTGATGAGGTCCACATTCTTTAGAAGTCATCTAGGGCCATCACCAGTGGTTTGAAAAGTAAATTGGAGTTCTAGGACATGTATTTGATGTGCCTATTTGGCTAAACTGAATACTGTCAGCCGTCCACATTTTCTGGGGCAGGGATGCAAGACATTCATCAATATGGAAAAAAACAAGAAAAAATAAGCTATTTTTAATCTCTTCTGGAATCTCTAGGTCCTCTTGCATGACTTTATGGTCAAGTTTAACTGGAGGACTAGAGGTTCCTACAGAGGTGTTCTCTTCTTGAAATTCCAATATGATTCCATGGACATCGTCCTGGAGGACTGAAAGATCCATAGAGAGACTATTTATAATGAAATCTGCAAATAATCAAATATGCAAAAGTTAAAGACCATACATGTGGAAGGTTTATAGTACATGGAAAAAATAGAGAATGGCATCTTAAAAGGAGTTACTGAACAGTTAAAGGAACAAAGGTTTGGGTTCCCCCCTTCTCTTGTGAAAGATGTAAACAGATTTGCTGACAAGTTTATGTAGAGAGAAAAGTCATTTCTGGAAGCACTATGAAAATCTAATGAATAGATGAAAGTGTTTTGTTGATTATGTATTTATTAAAGATTGAGAATTCTGGGGGAAATGATCTAAAAGCAAGAAACAGTGAACAAAAGGAAAAGCGTTCCCTTGAAGAGTGACAAGCAGTCACACAGAGATGGTTCCAATTGAAGTGCTAACAGCTCCTGCAGGTGGGAATGAGCAAACAGAAAGGTACCCAGGCTGAAAACAGGAGGAAATCAACACCTTTTGGTTTCTCTCTGGAGAAAAAAAAACTACTCTGGTAAACTTGAACAAACAATGTTAAGTGAGACTAATGGAAATGAGAACAAGGGGAGCAGAATGCTAAATATTTCAAACTTATACTATGAAAAGGAAACATGTTTTTTTTTAATTTCAAGAAGAGGTCTAATATTCAAGAGACATTTATCCATTTTATAGTATTCTCTCTCTCTCTCTCTCTCTCTCTCTCACACACACACACACACACACACACACACAAAACAATATTTAAATACTATGTTTTCCAACAGGTAGGTTTAAATGATGAGGGAAAATAATATAGAAAATGTATCTACATAAAAAAGGAAAGTTTGTTTCAAATTCCCCCAAAAATCATTGGCATAACTAAGTCCTGCCTTTTGGCGATATCTGGTTCCATTAAATTGAAAATTCTTTTTAAAACATTAGATTGAAAACACCATAACATTACAAAAATTGACACAATTTTAAAGGCATGATTTATATTTAACAAAAGGGACTAAGATGACCTTAGCGGATATTGGTTGGCATTGAAACTATAGTGTTTGAGTAATTTGGTGTACACTACAGATGGACTATGTCTCAGTGTGCTCAGTTGTTTTTATTCCCTAGTAGGTTTGGTTAGGATTGCACACTCTCCAGTAGGCCTGTGCAATCAATGAAAAAAATGTTTCAGTATTCATTATGAAATGCGTGGGGATTGGGTTGTTGTAGGTTTTCCAGGCTATATGGCCATGCTCTAGAGGCATTTTCTCCTGACGTTTCACCTGCATCTATGGTAAGCATCCTCAGAGGTAGTGAGGTCTGTTGGAAGTAGGAAAATGGGTTTATATATCTGTGGAAAGACCAGGGTGGGACAAAGGGATGTATGGGGATTGTTTCTAAATATCTGTTCATATATAACAGGCATGAGCAAACTAAGGCCTGGGGGATAGGTGTGGCCCCCAGGGCCCTTACCTCAGGCCCTCCTTATTTACCTTGTCCTCTTGACATTAGGACATGGTGGCCCACCACACCCTTAGGCCAAAAAGACAAGGGAGGAAGGCACGCAGCAGCTGAGAGCCCTCCACAGCACTCTCAGCCACCGCCTGTCTCACCCTGTCCCACCCAGCATTGCCTGCCCTCCCTCCCTCCTGGCCGGGCCCTCCTGGCCAGGCCCACAATGCCGCCCCTAGGCAAAAACGTTTGCTGATGCCTGGTATATACAAATCTTACAAATTAGATATGACTTATGATTTTAAAATGAAGATTTGCAAACCTCTATTCTCCAGCTGTCCTGGTTTGGTAGGGACAGTTGCAATTAATCTTGTTTTGCTCAGCCTTTCAGGAGCTTTTAAAATGTACCAGTTTCTCTCTCCTCCTTTTATTTTCAGTTTCTGCAAACTGAATTTGCACTAAGTTAACTCAACAGGAAAGAGGGGTGTGGGGTGAAATATTGCCCATCTCAGGGAAAAGCAAGCTCCCGGCAGCATCTACTAGCTTATGTGCTCTTATACATTAACAACTTCTAATATTTCAATCACATCCTGAATTTGTTTGCCTGTGTATCTTCTAGCTTTTATCTGGGAAGTGTGGACAAGTCATACAGTTTCAGAGAAAGGCAAAGATAAATCTATGAATATATCTTGAGAAGAAGACTGTGATGGGATCACCATAAAGTCTACTTGAATGCATTTAGCTACAGCAACATCTATACAGTTTACTATCTATAGAATACTTTGTTATTGACTTCGTCTTATTATATTTTACTGCTTTTCTTATGTTTACTCAGTTTACACTACCACTGTGTCTATATGCTCTAAAAGCTAAAAGTAATTTCAGCTTCATCTGCAAGACAGATAAAAAGGTGATTGGTAGATAGTTTGGAATGACATGGGAAATAATTTATAAGTAGACACAAAACAACATTCCTTTTAAAAGGATATTTTCTCTTTTCTATGCTGCATTGAAATGTGGGTTAAGATTGGTAGTCTTTCATTCTAAATATTTCTTATCTCTTCTCCTAGTGTTTTACTGATTCTAGGTGCAATTATATTTAATACTATGGGTGGGCTGTTTTTGAAGTATTGAACTCCTTCATCGTTCCCAGATGGCCTCATTTTTTGCCCCCAAAGAAAACAAAAATATAAATTGTCATTTCTCCAAGCCCCAGGAATGGCAAGTCACTTTTTAATAAAATTTACAGTCCTTCTCTCTACTCTGATTCATGTTTAAAAAGCTCTGTTCCTCAAAAAGAGAGGTGAGTTTCTTGCCACTTCTATTCCCCCTCTCCTTTCAGCATGTCTAGCATTCTGCGCAAACCCTGGAAGGCTTAATGGATAGAAAATAGGCCCTTGACCCACACCAGTTTAGAATATTAAGTGTTTGATTTTAAAAAGATAAAAGGACAAAACATTTCTTAGTATTCTCTAATATTTTATATTTGCATCAAACTCACCTAACATATTTGTTAAACAGTCAACTTTCCCCCTGTTATGTATGCTGATAAGTGTTGTTTATGTAATCATTAGTTTTACCCTGAGAAAGGTACAAATGGCTTTATCCATTTTTCTTCTATAATTCAATACTATATGGCACAATACTATTATCTGTGATAATCCTCATCTTTCTGTGGTAATGGGATTGTATGTTCCTGTGAAGCAAGAAGATATGGTGACAATAGCAGTGATACTGAAAGAATCTCCAAGCTTTTCCTGAAGATCCAAAGCCCTTCATGCAGTCAGTGGGAAGCCATAGTAGCATGTATGGAGACTTTTGTATAGGATCTCTCAGGGACAATGGCAGTTGCACTTTAGCCAATGCTGGCTAGAACTGTGCAGAAGGGGGCAATGGTAAACCATTTCTTTTTTTTCTTTTTTTAAAATAATTTTATTGAATTTTTAGGGGAAAAGAAAAGAGAAAATAAAAATAAAAAAGAGGAGGAAAAATGGGGGGGGGGAGTAGGAAAGTTTAATGGGTAGGAAAGAGGAAGAAGCTAACTATGGTTAAAGGGGTATGGAAGTTTCCCCACTAATGGGGATTGGAGTGGAAGGGCTGGGGGGAAAGGAAAGATAAAAAATGGGTAAACCATTTCTGAATTTATGAAAGGAGTTCTATACAATGAAGAGATAGTGGTGAAGGATGGCACTCCCAGTTCAGAAGGATCTTAACCAGATACTGGGAGAAAGAACAAGGGACAAGTACAAATAGTTATTGTTACTAAAACATTAAATTAGGACTTGTTGATAATCATAACAAACTGGGATGCAAAAACAGAAAACAGTAGAATCGTTGGACATCATTGGAGAACTTGACCTAAGGGTGAATAAATGAAAGACAGATGACTTACCAAATGTTATGCAGCTAACAGTTTCTTTTTCATTGCAAATGTGTTCTTCAGGCAACCAAACAGATGATTATACACATGAATATCTTTTGTTATACACATGAATATCTCTTGAATAACTGGAACACATTGAACTGCTCTTCTTTTTCATGCTGTGATATAACTTCACTAAGTTATACTTGTACATTTTAGTCATAAATCCATTACAATGGCCAGTAGTATCCTTGTTTCAGGAATGATTAGCTCTTTATTTCTGTAGTACCTTAAGAGTTAGCCGCATACAGTAGTCATAATCAAAAGTAGACATTCATTGAAACAAAAACACTGCATTTTGGGTGTATGAACTCAGATACTTGCCATTACACAGAATCATGGGAGACTGAGGAAGTAGATTATTTTTCACAGTGGCAATATATGTTACTTGGACTAGCCCTCTTAAATGTGTTGCTCATGGCTCCTGTTGCTGTGTACCTTCAAGTTGTGTCTGATTAAGGCAAACATATGAGAGTTTCTTGATATGATGTGGATAGATGTGTGCTTCACACTGGGTATGACTGGTTTTAAATGACTGAGCAAGGTTCAGTCCAACACTCAAACCACTACACCATGCTAACTCTCTATATGTGAAAAGGAAATACAAAAATTATTCAGACAGATGAATCCTCCATTTCTTTTGGACTCATCCATCTATTTCCACCCCTTGTCAAAGTATTTTTCCAATTTGTTCATTCTCCTGCCTAGAGGAGTTCGGGGCAGATGTCTTGCCCACAGCTTAACAAAAAACAATCCAAATACATTTCTTGTACAGGTCTTGAACTTGCCAACCAGATGGATGGATAACTTGGATTTGATCTATAGCCTGAATCCATATTTCATCTTTGGCTTACTGCAAGAATTCTGACAATATCATCATATTAATTTCTGTTATACATTAACCGTTAATAGAGCAAAACCAGCCACAAGGCTTTCTGTAACTTGTTCTTACTGTTCCAAGGCTGCAAAGCATAGAAAAAAGATAATATTTAATTTTCAGTATGTGAGCACGTATTATATATATTCTATTTTAATTCTATCTCAGGTAAAGGAATAGAATCTGAATTAAATACCATAGTGTGAATTGCAAAGTGAAATTGAATACTGATATTTGGGAATAGCAATTCAATTTACACCCAGATCCCAATGTGTTCATTAGTGTTATTTGTCTGGAAAATTGAAGAATGTATTCCTATGGAAGGTTAATGTCATAATTTAGTGACAGTGTTCTCATATAATGGTCAATAGACCACAATTTCTTATTTGTTATCATTGTAAAAATGTTTGATGGTTTTGAACTCGAAATATTTTTTGCACAGATGTTACTTTTGCAAAAAAAGTAAAAACAAATAAAAAAGTAATAAAATTAGCAAAACATGTAGAGGAGTTCCATTTTCTAATGTGCGTGGATATTTGTTTTACATGCAATAACATTGACCAGTATACGAGTACAACTATCAGACAGCTCTATCTCCATACTCTGCTAGAATTATGTAATGACACAGAAGAAAAGCCTGTGTAGAAAACATTCTTAATATACAAAAAATCCTACATGGGATAACAAAGAACTTTTGTATATTAAAGAATGTAAAGACATTGAAATTATTTTAGTATGCTTGCAGTGTTTAAAGTAGTTTGTGTATAAAGATCACACAGTGGGATTATAAAGAACTTGTCTATAGTCCTTGGAAAGTAATTCATTACTGTATACCACAAGCACTAAAATATAATGCAACACAGTGGATCTGGACATGAAGAATTTGAAATGAAATGTCTGTTCCACCTGCAAGGTATTGGATGACCTCAATCAACCCTCTATCTTTCAGAGCCTGAGAAAAGTCCTCATATATAAGCAATAATTGATTGAAAGATGTGCTCTTACACTGCAATACTTTCAGACATGGCTTTTATCAAGGGGGGGGGGGGTGGAGATACTGTGAGGCATTGCATTGACACACCATATCACCTTCCCTTTGGCTTCAGGTGTAGGGAAATTCTCGGAGAGGGATTATTGTCATGTTCTGCATTTCAGTATTTTGCAGTTGATCCTCCTCATTATGCAAAAACTCTTTAATTCACACAAAAAAGAAAAACATGGTGAAAAACATTCCTCAGTTCCATAATTCATATACACCCCTTTGACATACATGGCTGTGGGAAGAATCTGGTTGACCATGTAGCTATCATTGTTATTATTCAGCTTCTTTCATGGACAAAGTATACTTGGTAACCAATATAGTAGCATGAAACTATAGGTCAAAATACACACCCAACCTAAGCAGACCCACTGAATCAAAGGATAGTAAAATCAATATGTATATAAATTTATTGCTTTACTGGGACTACTGTAGCTTGGATTAGGAATTAGATTTTGGGTTTAAATTGGAACGGCAAGACAATTTCATTAAAATTATGGAAAATTCATTGGCATTTCTGAAACCATTTTACAGGATGAATCAGGATTTCTTATTAATTAATATTTTACAAATATCTTTAAAAAGACTGGCTTTATTGAAGGTCTGTAAATGAATCTGAAAACCACATCTTAATGGTAAGATTGTTATAAAACCATGTTCTATAATTGTGATGGAATAAGCACGAAATGACTATTTAAGTTTCACATAGTCGAATGATTTGGAGTTAAAAAGAAAGAAAAGAAAGCATGGGATACTTTGAGCTGAATGTATTTTCTTTTAAGAAAACTATAAACACAGAACTTTGCTTTGTTTTTCTAGTCAGCTGAAGTCTAATGATTGAACTTTAATTGACAAATTCTAACACAATTTCAGTTCATGAAAGCTGTCCAAATTTGTTCTCGCCTATGACCCAGAATAGTATCTACAAAGGCACAGATACCCAGTGATGGATCTGAACTGTGTATGTGGGACAAAGCCAGTATCTATATTTGTGTATATGAGTTTTATACCAATACTTAATTCCAGATTAGTAAAGAAGAAAAATAAGATGGAATAGGTCTTGAAGAGATTTCCCAGCCTTGCTTGTATGGGATGTTTGAGGTCTTTTTTGGACTCTTTACATTGGGCAGATTAAATAATTTCCTTCTTCATTTAATCCTTTTCTACCAATACTTTCTGGAGCAAGCATAAAGACTTATGTTAAGATGTTTGTTATGACTTTCAGGATTGTAAAAAGCAAACTAAGAAGTGGGACAGCTCTTGACCAAAGCACAATGAAATTAATGGAGATAGTCTAATAGGCTGCAGAATCTAATCACATTTAAGGCCAACTGATTTATTTTAGCATGAACTGCCATGGATTTAAATCTACTTCAGATGCAATGGTGGAGGTTAATGTTGCAGTCACAGTCATTTAAGCAGTTACATAGCTGTGGAGATGAGAATAGCACTCTACAAAGAGGTGCGCTTGGAAGACATATATTCTAGTTTATTATAGAACCCAACTCTGCAACCAACCCCAAATTCTTCTGGTTGTTTTGATGAAATCTAAACAATTCCCTGTGCATACCTCTTTTGTACTTTATTAAGAATGGCAGTGCATGGATGCCACTTTCCATTTAGGAACTTTGGGCTCACAGACATAACTTATGTCTGGTTAAGTTTCTGGCTTCTCTGCACTGGAATAGTAACAACTCTTTCATAAAATCTAGCCAGCTACTTTTGTTAGGCAGTTCTCAAAAATCTAACTTTGCAGCTCTTGAACTCATGATAGTGAATTTACCTAGCATCCAAACTGATGAAGCAAGCAAAAATAGTTACATTTAATTATGCTAGCAAGAATCAGTTGAACCAATTTAACTGTCAAAGCTGGAACTTCATAAAATCTAGACAGCCACTTTTGTCAGTCAGTTCTCATCTTAGTTGGACATCCAACTCAATATCAGACAGTTCCATTACATGCGATGGTGCATTTATTTTAGTATCTCTACTGATGAAGCAAGCAAAAATAGTTACTATTTAACTATGCTGGCAAGAATGAGATAAACCGGTAACTGTCAAAACTGTGGCTTCTCCATCATTCATAGCTGGAGACAAAGGAAGTGCTCATTTTTGCATGAGTGAGTACTTTGAAATACTTACTAAGCTGAACAAAGGAGAGCGGAATTTATACCACATACATTGCTCATGTTGTGACCTGGTTGAGGTAATACATTTGTGGTTGTATATATGGCTGCAAAACTGAGAAATATGGTTTTATATTTCTAAATATGATCCAGAAAAGAAATAGTTGTTATTATTATTGTTTTCTTCTAAGAAATGTAAAAAACCCATTAATATGCACACCTTTCTTTTTTAAAAATGAAACAACTCTTATGTTACCTGACTGCTATGCATGTATACAAATGTGGTGAAAGATCAAAGCAACGTGCTTGATATATTATCTAATATGTAAAGGAAAATCATTTTCTAAAGTACATGTTAAATGCAAACTACCAATTCCAAATGTTATCCTACCAAATTATAGTGTTGCAGGTATTTCATAGAACACTTCCTTAATGTATGGAATAGTTTTCAAAGCACTTAGGTGTTCTCCCATTTGTATTGCCTTCAAATCCAAATTGATTTGGTTTCAAGCAGAAGCACATCCGTAGAACTTGTGTGGAAACATATGGCATTAAGAAAGATGTACAACATTATTTTGTTTTAAATAGATGATGTTGCTCGATGGTTATACCTGGGGCTTCTAAATGTCATTCAGAATTTTTTCATCTAAGTTTGGAAGCTGATGTGAAAGCTTCCTTAAATGGTTTCAGGTGTAATATAAGGAATTAACAATCTTGAAACAAACCTACTTCTGTTCTAAATGGTTACCACAAGCAAATCAGAACATTTTGTTTTCCTTTATCTTTATAATTCATGAATTGAGAATGAACTCAACAATTAATCTACTTTGAACTCATTTTTGCCTGTGTAGTAGCTGTAGGCATATACTTGATGTCTTGAACAGAATAAAAAAGGCATGGTTCATATGTTTTTGTTTTGACCTGGTTATTTGATTGCGATATGATTCTTTTTACCACATAGGTTTTATGTGGTGAATAATTTCATTTGTATCATGATCTATCAGATTAAAATCTAGGTTTTAAAATAAGATTTTCCAGCCAGCAAATATCAAAAATTGTAAAGGGAATAAATTTAAATTAAATATTCATGATGGTCATATTGATGCCACAAGTCACTTTCCAGTAATTTTATCACATTAAAAGACAACTGTTAGCTTTTCTTTCCACTAGCAAGTAGGAGAGAACCAAACAGATTGTGAATGGTTTCCCCTTGTAGTAATGAAATGATGACAGGTCAATCTTGTTTCCACATGTAAGGGTCCCACTGACCTCACTTGTACTGCTCTGCTCATATACATAAATAGAAGAAGGAATGGCTAAAGCATGAAATGAATTGATACATATGCAGGCGTATTTCTCCTAGTCCATTGTACAGAAAAAGGAATGAAATGAATGCACTACAGACAGGATAAAACCTTACTTATTATAAATATTTTCTCCAAAAAGTGCATGCAAAATGTGAGGGAGATTTTCAGTAAATAAAGACATTTTAATAGTCTATTAAAAAAAAACCAAAATGTGATTTCCACCCCTTCTCAACAGGACAAGAAACAATACTAATTCACAATATACACCTCTGTATATAGAGGCTGTAAAAATAAAGCAAAACAATTTCCCAAATGAGCATTCAGTTTCCTCTTTTAAAAGCAGCAACAACTTGACAGACTTTACCCAATGATATATCATCTACACATTTCATTACTAAAATAGCCCATTTCCCCACCCCCCTCCTCCTGTGAAACTAACAAGGCATAGAGGTGACTAATACTCCTGTTACCTAAAGCTAAAGAAGACTTTACCGCTGTGTTTGCTCCAACTGATGAATATTTTTCTGTGCTTTTTCTTATGATTCATATATATCACACACATTATTAAAAGGATCCCAAGAAATACCTGTGATTTAAAAATAATTTAGAAATAATCAATGGCAAATTATTTTCTTTTTCTGATTAAAACTTGGTAAGGAACATCACGCAGACACGCACACACCTTAACTCTTGATGAAATGTATACACACAATTCCCAGTCAATCGGTATTTAAGAGAAAAGTATTGAAAGAATAAACTCTACTTTTTATTTTGGAGGTTAGTCTGATCTGGAACATATACTAGGTATTAGGGCTGTGATACATACACTGGAAGTTGGAGGCTATGAAAGCAACAGAGCTGTGAATCTGCCAGTTTTAGCTCAAGCAAACTTTAACAAATCGATTCACAGTGCTGAATGTAATTAGGAGAGCTATGATTTTGCCAGTTTAGTTCAAACAAACTTAACAGAGCTATTCACAATGTTGAACCTGTTTAAGAGATAGGATTCAGCACCTTGGATAGCTCTTTTCCAGGGAAAACAAAGATTTGTGGTGGATTCCTGACATCAATTTTAACTCCATATGCATTCATATGAAAGTCCAAAAATATGCATAAAAGGACTCTCCAGTCTATTGCGGTTACTAGGGAATCCTGCACACTTGGGATTTTAATGTATTCTTTCCCATAGACATGGAGTTCTAGATCAACAGTATTTTCACTTTTTAAAAAGCTTAAGGAACATTTTCCCCATTCTCAATAACACTGAGTCATACGTTACCCTGTGAACAATATTCAGTGTAAGAATGCACTTTGATGCTCCTTGGGTTCAACTCCAAATTATCCAAAATAAAATCAATTCTTTTCAACTGATAAAAAAGGGAAGTGTGCCCACTAATTATCTTCAACTGAAGTAAATGTTATCAGACATGACTTTACACAGCAGTGTATGGAAGTAAATAAAGATAGAAGAAATTATTCTACATTTCACTTTCCCTCAATGGTATTTATAATCAGAGGCCCGGAAAGTAAAGGTGACCTTTACTTTGCAACATTTTCAGATTTTGTCAATTTATTTTTTTTCTAATAAAAATATCTTTCTGAGATACTCCAAAACACAAAATTACTATAAAACAACACATGCAGGATTAACCTGGTTACCAGTGAAACTGTATTTAGGCTACTCTTAATTTCAAATTGCTTTTGTTTTGAAGGGATAAATTCAAATAAAAGGATGCAGCTATGATTGGTCTTTCTTCAGAAATAATTTTCAACCAGCATGGAAATATATGTTGGCATAAAACGAGATGATGTAAATCAGGTGTGTGTGTGTGTGTGTGTGTGTGTGTGTGTGTGTATGTGTGTGTAGGGGAGATTTCCTTAAAATAGTTATCTTCACTTACATCATATACATTGCAAAATGCACAGACACCAAGTGTACTTTTTAACAACATATACATGTGAGTTTATAGAGCCTTTATAAAAAGTTTTCTTGACTCCAAATTAAAAACCATAGAAATAGAATCAAAATAATGGTGGTTGAAATATATATACTTTGATAGTACATAGTCAGTGCTCATTTTCATAATTATTGACAGCTGTATCTTTGGCATTGAAAATTCAGTACAACTTTCAGAAAAAAAATGTTGTTGCTTACAGCTTATTTTTCTTTTCTTTTCTTTTTTTTAACAAGGACAAACAGGATTGACCAAAGTACAAAAACGGGGGAAGTATTATTAAAGATTTATTTTATTTTTAGGCAAGGATAATTTAAGGACCCTGAATTACCTTCTCACTTTAGTGTATGGTGCGCACTGTATGAATTCATTTAAAAATCAACTAAATGGTACCACGTTTCCCGGAAAATTATATGTAATATAATATATATATTTTATATTTATTTAGAAGCTTTGAAATAGTACAGTAAACACTTTGCAACACGGTGTATAAACTACAGAATGTCTTTGATATTTTGTGGGCCTGCAGATTAACAACATTTTCATGACCCACAGGTGAAAAGAACATGATTCACAATTTCTTTTGTAAAGTTGGAATAGTCTGGGGGACACTTGATCACACAAAAATAATATAAAACAGTCAAGTTTAAAACAGTGATATTGCATTTATAATGCATGTTTCCTTTTTTAAAATCTGTACGATTGGCTTCCTGTGGCGAATATAAACATCTAAAGGGCTCAGTGACATTTTGGAGAGAGAACGAGAAATAGAGAGCTATATAGTGCTGTAAACAGGCACACACTGATCAGAGAGGCAAAAAATCAGTTGCCCCTTGAAGTTTCTACAGTTCCATACATTTCAACTCATTTCTCAGGCCTGCTGAGAGCAGTTAGGTCCTATTATTGGCCAAGATGTCTCCAACAGCACAGTAATTCTTCAGTTAACACAGAATCAGATGGCCAAGATAATGAAGTTGAAAAGTTGATGCTTTTGTTGGTCGACTTTTGTGCAAATCATGCTGCTTCAGGTAAGTCCCGTAGAATTGACTAGCATATCCTTTTCCGTGCTGTGGGGGAAAAGAAAGAAACTTCTAAGATATCAAGCAATAATTCTATGTCACATTCAACACATTGGTAGCACATAGTACTAATCAATATTCAGTGCTCTATTTAAATAATTTTGAATAGATAAAGCTTAATACATGATATTTCAACACTCCATTGTAAAAAAAAATGATTGATAGAACTATCTTACACAATTTGGCAAGAAATTGGCATTTGAAGGTTGCATTCATTCAAATGGAAATAATTAAGCTCATGATTAATTGTTCCTTGGTGAAATTAATAGGGCATATTCACAATACTATATAAATATTCCTCAATATTAGTTTTAGTTACAATAGCATGTAATAAAAAGCAATGTAAGCATTACAATTTTAAATATTTAGCATGGGCTGGATTGTGCCCATTTAAACATGTATTCCTAAGGGACCAAGGACTATATATAACTGTGGTTTTAAATGAGTGAAAACTCCAGATATGTTTCATTATTTCTACAAAAAGGCAGCCTTTTTAAAACAACCTATGTCTTATTATTAGCTGGCATGACCAACCTCAGAAATCATAGTTTATGAACAAAATGAAAATAAACATCTGTATGCTTATTCTGTTAAACATTTTCTGTCTTTTGTCAATTGCCATATTGGTCATTACTGGGCAGAGATGGGAGTATATACAGTATACCAAACAACCACACCAAATTCCAGATCAGAAAGAACAAGGTTTTATAAAATTGAGGACCTGATTCATGTCTCCTAAAGCCTCCTACTGGGCTACAAAAGTCCCCAAATACACAAATATATTTTTGCCCTCTTTTGATTGATATTTTTACATTAAAACTGCAGATTCCACAAAGTTTAATCAAAATAGTGATTGAAAGTAATGTGATATCATTTTCAGCATGCTGAAGCCTAACTATGTGGGATGCTGGGTGGTAGATAGTCAATTGAGTCCTCTAGAATGAAGGCTTGGAGTCATCCATATCTGACACACTTGGAGATGATGATGTACTGACAGTGGTCATATAATTGGTTCTAATTGATATTTTTGTGGGGTCCATCTTGCCCCCAATTCCTGAAATGTCTAAATATTGATGAATGATTGCCTAACACGCCACTCCACCTAAGCATATATTTAAAAACGAGATTGAAAAATGCACATATTTTTAAAATGTACTCCAAAATGCTATAAACATCTTTTAGTTAGGACAGAGATGGTTTTCAAGCAATTAGTTCAATGCATATAATATTGCCCACATCTGCAAACATAAATAAATAAATAAAATCCAAGGTTTGAAACAGGACAGATTCCATCCGCTAAACACACATACAAAAGGCACAGTCAGGAATGGACTAGATGTGCAATTGGGAAAGTGTGAAGAAGTCTCCAGATGCACCTTACAGAACAGGCATGGGCAAACTTCAGCCCCCCAGGTGTTTTGAACTTCAACTCCCCTAATTCTTAACAGCTGGTAAGCTGGTTAGGATCTCTGGGAGTTGAAGTTCAAAACACATGGATACCCAAAGTTTGCCCATGTCTGTTATAGTGTAGATGCATCCATTCCTAATCTTAAATGGCTAGAAGTAACAGGATATCTCACAAAACTACCTCTACAGCAGGGTCATCTGCACATAATTTCTAAAGTTCTCTTTAATTGGATGTGGGTTAAAGTAAGAATGCTAATGGAGTCTCCAGGTGTGAATCAAATATTTGAATTATTGTGTATTGTGTATAACTCTAATGCCCTTCCAATATAAAATAAGACTAGTGCTTTCATAACTTTTGGATGCAGAAGGAGCATTCTGTGGTTATATATAATATAAATAAATAGTATTTCCAAACTAATAGGTTTCACCTTTATCTTGCTATCTGAAGCTAAATTTAAGCTTTCTGCAAGAACATGGAACTTGTTTTCAAAGTGAACCATTACACAATCACCAACAAATATATAAGGGAGGAGGTTGAATTATGTGATTGAAAATTATATACATACAGCCTAACACAACATCTCAGAAATCGATAGAAGACCATGCCAGAGAAGACAAAGTGGACTTTAATTAAAAACTTCTTCAAATTATGAAACACTTATGATGATGAAAAGGATGAAGGTGTGAAGGGGACTGAGTACGATGGACAAAGTCTTGATGGTACTAATTCAAATATGGCTACATTTGAGGAGATAGGAGGCTAATATATACATTGCACTTGCATACTACCATTTTCATGTAATGTTTCTGCTTTCTCTCTCTTTTACTTTTCTCTTTTTCTCTTTCTCTTTTCTTTTTATTCTTCTAGGTTCTCACATCAATTTACTATATATTTTATTTAAATCCAAAAGTAACACTTTTGTTTTTGTTTATCTACTCCCTTTTTACCCTTCAATAAAATACCATGCAAAAAAAGCGAAAATTATATACATACATATGTGTGGATAAATTTTTCAGACAGCTGCCATATATTTTGCATTAATCTCAGCATTCAAATTCAAGCATATGAAGGACTGCTGAAAATAGTTTGTTTTTTAAAAAAGTAAGTGTAAAAGAGCAGCTCATTAGACAAACTGGTATCTATATCTACATCTGACAGTTTGTGTTATGTATATATTGCCACCTTGAGAGATCAGCTATTTTGATTGTGATCGAGAGCACAGAATTCAGAAAATACACCAGGTCAACCTAACTGTGATTGCAACTAAGAAAAAAAATCAACTATCTTTGCTGAAATATTTTCTTGAAAATGCTACAGTTATATCAATACTTTGGAAGCTTTTAAACGGAAGCTGGATGGCCATCTATCCGGGGTACTTTGTGCTTTTCCTACATGGCAGGAGGTTGAACTAGGTGGCCCATGTGGTCTCTTTCAACTCTATGATTCTAATACTGTACAAGGTTCATCATCAAACAAACTAAATTAATAGGGACAATTCAGCATTTACATGTTTATGGTATCTTCTAGGCCTGGGTAACAACGCAAAAATTTGTTTCTAAAATCGATTCGTTTTTTGGGGTTTTTTGCGTTTCGATATTTAAAAGAATTCCGAAATTTTCTTTAAAAAAAGTTCGATATTTACGAAATTTTGTAAATGTGAAAAAAATTACAAAACATTAATGAATCGATTTCCGAAACAATAACGAATCGATTCGTTAATGGCGGACGTGACCGCGAAATACGCTAAAATACCTCTAAAAACTTCTGAAGCTTCCCTCTCCCTCTGTTGTTGACTGTTGGTGTGATATTATAATTTTTTTTCACTAATTAAACAAAAAACAACTATAAAACTTGCCCCAGACATGCGGAAATAATAACGAAACGACCTCAAACCAATAACGAAACGAATACATAACGAGATACGAAGCATTTACGAAACGAATTGAAAAATTCGTTTCGTTTTTAAGTTGCTCCAGAATGGTTCGTTATCGCTTCGTTAACAAAAAAAAACGAATTTTTAACGAATTACGAATTAACGAAACGAAACCGCCCTGCCCTAGTATCTTCATATACAAGGCACTGTTTGTGTTCCCTAGGAAGGAAATAAGTAGGAAAACTTAAACTTACTTCAACCATTGTTAGCTGGAATCAAATTATGAAGGCTAGTTTATGTAGGATATAAAACTAAATTAAGTATTCTGTAATTAAAACCTAATCTTCAAACTGAATTTAAAGAAAATATGGAAACTGTAGGGCCTTTAGGATCTGCAGTGTTTATGTGTGATGGATTGAAGGAGAAGCATAACCACATTTATTTACAAATGGTTTTGTAACATACTTTTATGCAAACCATCTGGGCTATTACTACTGAGGGATGATATCAATGTTTAGCCTTGATTTTCAACAATGTATCAGCTCCTTCCACCCAAAGGAAAGTATTTGAAAGTAGTTTACAATCAAAACAATAAAAATACATACATAAAACCAAAATTAAAACAAGCAGTAATGACCAAGGAACAGCTACTTTTAAATTGCAATTTGTGCAAGCCTCGATAGGCGTGTTTTCCACCTGTCTTGGACTTACTTGGATTGTACTATTAGGAAGCAATCCTATGTGTATCGAAAGTACTGTAGTAACAGTTAAATGATAGTTAGAAAATACGGCTTCCACAATCAGAAAATTAAATAATGAAGGAGGTCTTCATTTGGTGGCCTTCTTGATACTGTAGTGCAGGGACCCACTGCTGCCAATAATTGAGTCAGAAAGCATTACAGATCATAGATATAGAATCATAGAATCATAGTGTTGGAAGAGACCACATGGACTAACTAGTACAACCCCCGCCACACAGGAAAAGCAAAATCAAAGTATGTACACCTGACAGATGACCATCCAGTCTCTATTTAAAAGCACCCAAGGAAGGTGCTTCCACTCCATTCCAAGGCAGTGAGTTCCATTGTTGAACAGCTTTTACAGTTGGGAATTTTTTCCTAATGTTCAAGTGGAACCTTATTTCCTGTAATTTGAACCTATTGCTCTGACCTCTAGTCTCCAGGGCAGGAGAAAACAAGTCAGCTCCCTCTTCCTCATGACATCTTTTCAAATATGGCTATCTTGTCTCCTCTCAAACTTATCTTCTGCAGGCTAAACATTCTCAGTTCTTTAAGATGCTCATCATAGGGCATGGTCTCCAGATCTTTAATCATTTTAGTCGCTCTCCTCTGGATATCTTCCAGCTTGTCAATATCTCTTTTGAACTGTGGTGCCCAGTATAGGACACAGTATTCCAGTGAGGTCTAACCAAAGCAGAATGCATCATGACTTCCTTTGATCTAGACACTATACTCCTTTTGATGTAGCCAAAAATCCCATTGGCTTTTTTTAGCTGCTGCATCACATAGTTGGCTCAAACATGAGCCAACCATGTGATGTCCACTACATGTCCACTAAGACTCCAAGATCTTTTTCACATGGACTGTTGTCAAGCCAGGCTTCACTCATTTATCTTTACATTTCATTCTTTCTAACTAAATGTAGTATCTTACAGTTCTCCTTGTTGAAATTAATTTTGTTAGTTTT